CAAAGTGTTGCCGACGTGCCGTGAAATTGCTTGCGTCACCCCTTAGAACATTTTTTATGCTTCCCCCCCCCCCCTCCTTCCCCCCCCGTTTTCACCATTTGTCGTGCTCCCCGATGCAAGGTACCATTCACCCAAACCCTTCACGTCGACCCACAGATCTTGTCTAATCAACGGCTAGAGACAAATAATCTGGGTAGCAAAGCCAAAAAAAAGAAAAAAATCTGGGTGGTGGGGACCACCTCGCCCCGGCATTCGACAACACCTCGACCTCTCAACGCGATTTTCTGCACACCTCCACAAGCACGTCCACATTCGGGTGTTGAGGAAACTACGCTGCTAGTGGGCCTTGGCCCCCGTAGAGGCACGGGGCTTCTCCCTGCCCATATAATCCTCCCTCGATCTTCCCGAGATTTCCATTCCCCATTTCATTCTCATCAACGTCCTTGTCTAGATGTTTCTTCCCATAGCTTATGCTCCTTCCTTCTCTCACTGCACTGAGTGTGTTTCCACCACTGCCATTGGCACTTGTCTTGTCTTCACTTGTCGATCTTGTATTCCCTCCTCTTCTTCTTCATTGCGCAAGATCTGACGAAGCAGTGTGGTGCTCTCTCTCTCTCTCTCTCTCTCTCTCTCTCTCTCTCTCTCTCTCTCTCTCTTCCGGCATCCTTTCTAAACGACAAGCGAGGAATTGTCCTTCACTACAGGACAGGAGAAAAGTTCATCACTACACGACAAGCGAGGAACAGTTCGCCACTGTATAACAAGCGAGCGAGTAGGTTCATAAGAGGGAGTAGGCGTAGTATTCGAGCAAGCCAGTCTGAGAGACGAGACTAGTGGGCTGAATCGCACTGCAGGGGCAAGCGGGAATCCGGCTTCTGACTCTTGGTCTTTCTCTCGTTGTCTGCCTCTGCATCTCGCTCTTCTCTCTCTCCTTCTTCGTCAAATCTCTCTCTCTCTCTCTCTCTCTCTCTCTCTCTCTCTCTCTCTCTCTCTCTCTCTCTCTCTCTCTCTCTCTCTCTCTCTCCGTTTAGAGGCTCCTCGTCTTTCTGCTGAGCTCGCTTCTGTCTACAGCCGGTAAACTAGACGATTGCGAGTCTTTCACCGAGTACGGCAGTACTGTCGCTTTGTGCATTTGTATTTGGCCTTGCACCCGTCTCTTCGTTACAGCCATAGCTATATCACGACATGGATACAGAAAACGTGGCATGTGCGGCACTGCCGTCCAACGCAGTCGAACAAGAGGTAAGCGGTCCGGGAGGGGTGAAGCACCCGATGAGCGACAGCCAGTTGCCGCCTCTGTCTTCCACTTTGCCGCACAGCCTAGAGTCGATGTCCTCTCCCAAGCGATCGGACAGCGAACGAGCCTCGGCGCAGCTGGAAGAAGGGATTGGTATCCCGACCGATCAATCGGAACCGATGAGTGGCGACGGAGGCAAGGCTGGCAGACAGCATGAGGGTGCGGCGGTTGATGGTGCCGAGGAGGAAGGGAGAGGTGGTGGATTGCCGCTGTTCCACGCTGATGAGGGCAGCAGGTCGCAAACGGGGACTCCGTGTCGGGATCTCCTCCCCTCACAACGTGTCAACGCTACCACTTGCGAGCAGCAGCAGCAGAATGTGCCGAGGCGACAGACTGTGCCTCCCTCTCCTTCCGCCCTTCCAGTGCCGCCTCCGTCGTTCCGCTTCTCTCTCCCACCTCTCCCACCTCTCCCTTTTCCTCTCTCTTCAGCGTCCAGGGACGACGGCATAGCGGCGGGCTCTCTCGAGCGTCTTCGCGAGAGGAGAGAGAGAGAGAGGGAGCCAGGCTCTTGGGCTGGTTACGCGAATGCGGCCGGGATCGGGGCCGCAATTGGACCGATGATGATGCCTACCCGGGCGGCGACCAACCTACCTTCACCGTCTCAGAGTCTGTTGCTTAGCGGTGCCAGACGGAAATGGCGTTCAGACATAAACAAGAGGGAATACGATTTCTGCCAGCTGCTCGGCGCGCTGCAGCAGGAGATCGTTGCCGCCATAGCTGACAAGGATGCGGAGCGCTCTCTGCAGTTGGCCGAGAAGGCGTCCAGATTGCTATCTGCTCGCAAACGCGTCATTGACATCGCAGATGGGAGGGGATGGTCTTGCGCCGAGCTGTTCGAAAGATACACGTTGGCGGAGTTGTCGGGGAACGAAGAGGAGAAGAGGAGGATCGTGAGCGAGGAGGAATTCATAAAGAGGAGTTCCAAACTGTTAACAGGGAGAAGAAGAGGCGGCGAGAGGAAGAGGACAGCCATAGCCAGACCTCCAACGGCGAAGCGCTCTAAGATCATCTAGATTTGGACGGGTGGGAGTTTTCTTCGTTGTCACGAGGCTCGCGCCTTGCGCCGACCCCTCCCCCCTCCTCCCTCCCCCCTCCCCCTCCCTCCACCCGCCCCGGCCAAACAAGTTTTGCGCAGTCCTCAATGCCTGCCGAGCTTGCCTGAAGTTCAGGATTGGTTGAGATCTAGCTTCCGCATGGGAGCATCTGCACGAGGCGCTGCGCGACAGAGAAGAAGAAGGAAAAGAAGAAGAAGAAGAAGAAGAAGAAGAAGAAGAAGGTGGAAGAAGAAGGTGGAAGATGGAACGACAGCAAGTAGAACTGCTATGTCCAGGCGCTCGTCGTCTTACTTAGTAGATTTCCTGAAGTTCAGGATTCATTGAGATCGATTCGAGTCTCAGCCGCGGTTCAGTTCGCGGAACACATGTACATAGAATTTCCAGAGAGGCGGGATACCTGCTTCCCTCTTCTCTCTCTCTCTCTCTCTCTCTCTCTCTCTCTCTCTCTCTCTCTCTCTCTCTCTCTCTCTCTCTCGCTCGCTCGCTCGCTGTTGCATTCGGGTCTGGTAGACAGGTAAATCGATAGAAGGGAGGCGGTAGAGAAATCTTGCCGCTCATGGTCGGAGCTCGCCTGCAGGAAAGGGATCGCTCGACTGGACAGGATGAGTAATCAAGTGCACGTGGAAGGAGGAGAAATGAGATTAGATTGGCTATGGCTGTGGCCAGGAGTAAGTCCACGTGGATGTTGGAGAACAGAGATTGGTTATGTCTATGGCCAGGAGAAATAACGTGGAAGGAGGAGAACAGAGATCGGCTATGCCTCTTGCCAGGAGTAATGCCTCGTGGAAGGAGGAGAATAGAGATTGACGATGCCCATGGCTAGGAGTAAAGCCACTTGGACAGACGAGAACAGATGTTGATGATGTCCATGGCCAGGAGGAAGTCCGTCCCGAAGGAGGAGAACAGAGATTGGTGATGTCTATGGCCAAGGAGTCATTCCAATGTCCAAGTGGAAGGAGGAGAGCAGATTGGTTGATGCCTTTGGTCCGGAGGTCCTGCTGCCTACTGCAATCGAGTCAATGCACATTTCGCCAGTCGCACACTGTGAGTGACCCTTCACCAGTCGCACACCGTGAGTAACACTTCACCAGTCGGACAACGTGAGTGACACCTACACCAGTCGCACAGCGTGTGTGGCACTGCGCCAGTCCAGTCGCATAGCGTGAATAACAACTCGCCACTCTCGCACAGTGAGTGACACTTCGCCAGTCCAGTCGCACCGCGTGAGTGTCACTTCGCCAGTCCAGTCTCACAACCTTTGTGTGACTTCATCACCCGGAATGCTTCAGTTTGACGCGGGAGGAGGAGGAGGAGGAGGAGGAGAAAGAGGAGTAGGAGGAGAAAGCAGAGAAATGCGGGCTGCCAAGTTGCTGGAGTTGATTACTAACAGTCGGTGCGTTAGATCGTAAAGCTATCCGCTCGGTAGCAAGTGCATGGGCGTTTCATCACTTCTGGTCAGCCGTGTGGCATCTTACAAACGGACTATTATTTTATTTTACGTGCATGGACGTGTCATCACTTCTCGGTAGTACATGCATGGACGTGTGATCACTTCTCGTCAGCCAGGATGGCCATGGCCATTTCTCTCAAACAGTAGAAATCGGATTTCATCTTCCTCTTTTTTCCCCTCCTCGGGACCGGTGAGTTCCTCCTCTAGACTTCCCACGCATAGCATATCAATCTGATTTTTTTTCAGGTGTGTAGTTTTTTTTCAGGCATGACTTATCACACACTCAGAGAACTAATGTCTGTACTTGTTGTTTTTGCTTTGTTCTTTCAATCTGTGCAAATTACAGCTCTTCTGCTTGTGTTTTTCATTGTCACTCCTAGTATTTGCAGCCTGCTTATCTAGACTCTCTGTAGGAGTGTGGTCGCCGTAGAATTTGGTAAAGCAGTTGTGTCGGTGGAGCAGTCCTTGAGAGCACTGTTGAAAACGTCAGCTATACTGCGTAGTGAGTCCTTTGAGCTGCACTAATGGAAGTGCCTGAGCAACACTGTGCTTCAGCTATACTGCTTGCTTCAGCTATACTGTGTAGTGAGTCCTTTGAGCTGCACTGCGTGCGTGAGCCGCGCTGCGTGCGTGAGCTGCAGCTGCTGCACTGCGTTCTTGATCTGCGCTGCGTTCTTGAACTGCACTGCGTGCCTGAGGTGCAGTGCGTGCGTGAGCTGTAGTGGGTGCTTGAGCTATACCCTCACTGCTTGAGCTATACCCTCACTGCTTGAGCTATACTCTCACTGCTTGAGCTGCACGCCAGTTCTTGAGTAAAACTCCGTGCTTGATATATAGTATACACTAATGAAAATATAGACGACTATCTTTGACACTGTGCTGTAGCGAGTCCGAGTCCTTTAGCCATAGGGAACTTGAGCTATACTCTCACTGCTCGAGCTGCACGCCACTTCATCTTCATGAGCAATGCTCCGTGCTTGATCTACACCCGTGCCCCTAATGAAAATGTAGACTATCCTTGAGCTGTAGGGAGTGCTTGACCTATACTGACTTCTGTTGAAAGTGCTGTACAGCGAACTAACAGTCGCAGTGAGAGCGTGCGCTAATGGAAGTTGCCAAATTTCAAATGACAGTAAGTGACGGTCCTTGCCTAACATACCGTGACCAACCAAAGGTCACTTTTTCCAGTTTCGATGTGACAGTCGTTGTTTTTCACGTGGAAGGATGCCTTACTGCCAGTTTCTGCTGTCTTTTCAATTTCAACTTCCTTCACTACCGTCTTCACCCGAATAGAACGCCCTGTCATTATAGCTGTATTTGGTGGAACTTTCAGTCTAGATGCAGTGATAATGACCGGGCGCTTTATTCGGGTGACGACGGTAGTCGACTTGGAGCTTGGAGGTTTTGGTGGTGCTCTTGGACGTTTTGGTGCTGCTCGTGGAGGTTTTGGTGGTGGTGCTTTAAATCAGAATCAGATGCTGGAGTGGCTCAAGCGGGTAAGTCGTAGTACGTATGGTACATAGTAGATTTGAGGGACCTTTGTGCGTGGGATGTTGGACTGATTAGGAAGATACTTCAAGATAGAGGTTCTTTCTGCAAATTGGCGTCGAAGGACCTAAGGTCCACGCTGCTGGTATAGACTCTACACCTAGGCTTGAACCTTTCGGCCTGGGATCTTGGAGTGATCAGGAAGATACAGGTTCTTCATGCAAATTCGCGTTGGACTCCTCAAGGTTGCTGTTAGATAGACTCTATCTACCTAGTAGACTTGAACCTGTCGCCCTGGGATCTTGGAGTGATTAGGAAGACTTAGGTTCTTTGTGCGAATTCGCGTCCTCAAGGTCCAAGCTGCTGGATTGGACTCTAATGGATAGTACTCAATTGTCAGAGTACAGAATCTGATATATAGGTAGGAAAGGAGAGACCTTTGACAAGTCTTTCAGAAGAGGAATAGTGCATGAGAGATTTTGAGACTTAGGCTATATCTGAGACTGGGTTGAAAAGTCTGAGTGAGGGAGGAGATTTAGGGGCACATTTGATTAGAGGCTGCAGAACTGCCCATCGACAGACGCATGCGACGGCGATTACGGTCAGGTTCAGCCGCACCATTGGAGAGATTTTAGCAGCAGCTGCTGGTGCGATTATGCCCTTCCTTACACTTTTCACGGACAAGTTGGGTTAACGGTTAACCACGTCTTACTCCTAGGCAGACAGAGAGCGTTGACGAGTCCCGCCCGCAACAAATGGCTAAAGTAGTCTGCATCTCTTTTTTCCCCCCCCTTTTCTCTTCTTCTTTGCCCATCGCTGCTTGCCACCTTTCTCCTTCAAGTTCTTGAGCTTCCCCCCCGCGTCAGACTCTTTGTTTTTGGCTCCTCCTCCAATCTACGCTCACTCGGAAGAAAAAAAACGTCCCACTCCTACAGTAGGTGTCCACAGACTCCTCACCTACACCAAGTGTATGGACTTCGATTTTTTTTTTTTTTTTGGGGGGGGAGGGGGAGACTATAGTTTGCCCTCGCGTGTCGTAGCGAACCCAAGCGTTAGCGGATTTGTAATGTTCAGTTGAAGTTTCGTGTTCGTAGGCAAGCAAGTTGTCGGCCATGGGGGCATGTCCATAGCTTTCCCCTTTCCGTTCCGTTTTAGCAAGTTTTACACTTCCCCTGTGGACGTAACTGCGGGCAGATGCATCCGGGTTTGATCGGAAACGCGGTCACATACACATCCCCGAAAGTATTACTGTGAGAAGTCTCAAAGTGTGAGCGTTTCCGAAGAGTAGGTACCGTGATAAGGATTCGCTGAATACGACAGCTGGAGTCGTTGTCGAGAGGAGCTGATTTTTTTTTTTTTTTTTTTTTTTTTTTTTTAATGCCATGATGAAATAAAAACAGAATTTGACCTGCGTTTTGTGTGGTCAGCGATCTTCGGTCCGGTTGACCACAGTCCGAGCTCCGTTGACTGACCACCTGGTCAGAGACTGTCCGTAATGCAGTCAGCGCGTCGTCTGCCCGTACTGCAGTCAGCTGATCGTGGCATAGTACCCGGACTTTTTTAGCTTTTCTGCATGCATCAGTGACTGATTACGGCTAAATGTGCTTCGACAAATTGTTTTCAGTGTGACTATGCTACCAACTGCAGAAGGCGCGAGAATCTCTAGCCATGGTTTGTATCCGATTGTTCCTGGTCCATCCGACTGATCCTGGTCCACCACGCGCGCTCAAAGCCATCCCGGTCCATATCTGATTGGTCCTGGTCCATCCGACTGATCCGGGTCCACCACTCGCGCTCGAAGCCATCCCGGTCCATATCTGATTGGTCCTGGTCCATCTGCCGATCCTGGTCTACCACACGCGCTCGAAGCTGTCCTGGTCTATATTATCTAATTGGTCCTGGTCCATCTGACTGTTCCTGGTCTACCACACGCGCGCGAAGCCATCCTGGTCTGTATTATCTGATTGGTCCTGGTCCATCTGACTGTTCCTCGTCTGTACTATCTGATTGTTCCTGTTTCATCCGCTGCCCTTCGCTCTGCACCTCGCCAGCTATTCACTTCCGTACCGCGCT